CCTCCCCGCCGCCTGGTGGCTGCCCGGGTCCGCCCGAGCCTCCAGCTTCGCGCCGCTCCCGCCGGGCCCCCCGGCTCAGACCCGGCGGTGACCCGGCCAGTGCCGTGGGCAGTGACTTAGGCCTCGGGCCCTTCAACCATTAAGCCTTGGGTCCTTTCGTTGATTCGATTTTTGGTTTAAGGAAAATAAAAGTCTTCTTATTTCTGTGTGCTTCCCGTCTTCACTCTCCACGCGTGCGAGGAATTCTCCGCCACCAAGTCGATGTGTAGTTGATGGGGTCCCCCGCACCGGGAATTGTCTCCATGCCAATAAATCACCGTGGACACCCACCATTTCATTGTGTCATTTGCAAAAATGTGCGGAACTAAAATTTGGGGCCTTTATTCCAAAAGAAATCATTGTTATGATATTTGGGGGGGGGAATCCTTGGATATGTTAGTTACCCAACAGAATTAATATCAAATCTGTGGACTTTTACAAACAATCTCGGAGAACTGTCTTGGGGCTGAGATTTAGCAATCATTGCGATGTTAAAAATACCTCTCTCAGAACCCAATCCTGGCCATTCAAGAAGCTTCTGGCTCAAGAAGTCTGGGTATTCTGTTAGAAATGAAGTGAACTGATGTGTAGACATGTAATTCTGTAATTCGAATGAAATTCTATGTTACTGAATGAAAATAACTGACCGGTATAGTGTTTGCAGTAGGCTCTCTATGTTTGAAAGGTATGCATCCTAAAATAGGAGGGGGATTGAACCAAATGCCCAATACACAAATTTCCTTTTTCCCGTGGACAAATTCAGATCTGAAGTCCAAGATCAGAAAAGCAATGTCGCTTTCCTATACTGCTGCAGGGCCCCAAGGCAAGGGCGGCCCCAAGAGGAGGGGGACAGAAACGCGAGCCGGCAGCAAGTCTGGAATCCCAGCTTTTACCAGGCAGGAGGGAATAGCTGCCTGGCCGTTTGAAAGTCCTAGAAGCCATCAGGTTGCATGCGTGTGACCGACGCAGCCTGGAGCCCTGTAATGCCTGAGACGCTGTTCCTGAGAAAGGGCTTCACCGACACCGCAGAAATACCCAGAGAAACATCCGCCAACCACCATAGCAACACACCCAAGAGTACAATTGGGCAGAAAAGCCTCCTGGAGTCTTAGAGGCGGGGCCCGAGTGACCACGCCCCGAAGCCACGCCCCTTTCCTTTATGACGTAGAAGAATTCCTGCCACGCGTCGGAATTCAGCCCCGGGGAAAGCTAACCAGCCTTACGGACGCATTTGGGAGCGGAGTCGGCGGTGCCTGCTCCCAGCACCATGCATTTCTTATCCACATTAGCCTTTTTCTTTTACCTGTGGGGACTTTGTACTGCTCAGGGACAGAAGAAAGAGGAGAGTACAGAAGAAGTGAAAATAGAAGTTTTGCATCGTCCAGAAAACTGCTCTAAGACAAGCAAGAAGGGAGACCTGCTAAATGCTCATTACGATGGTTACTTGGCTAAAGATGGCTCGAAATTTTACTGCAGGTAAGAGATGCTGCAAACTGCCTCCCCACCCCCACCTTTGTCCAGTTGATGTGCTTCAGATCTTGCCTTTAAAATGACTAGAAGTCTAATCATTTTGTCATTTGAAAACATTAGCTCAATAAATGGCCTCCCCCAAAACACTACCTCCTCCTCCACCTTTAACCCTTAGGACCCCTAGAACTAATTTAAGGGACTGCCTGTAAAGATATGGACACTTTCCCTTTGCCCAGAGTTGGCATCTCTTTCCAGAGAATTTACACAGGATAGCTGAAGCAATTTATGCTAGCCTTCATGCTGGGTGGGGCCACAGTGTCTCTACATTCACTGTAACTGTGCCTTCCCTAGTAATTTCCTTTGAGCCCTGTCCTCTTGCCTGACCGCAAGTCACTGGCTGCCTACTCTGATATGATGGTTTATTACTCTCAGCACAATGTCTTTATCTATGCCATTACCCGGAAAAATAGGACTGGGGAAGGTAAGTTATTCCACTTTAGAAGAAAATAGATTTAATCAGAAGAGATACTGTTTTAAATTGCTATTACGTTGAAATTTAAGGCTAATCTTACCCTTCATGCCTAACAACAAACTCAGAGAAGTGAAATGAATTGCTAGCAATGAATCTAGTTAAAGGCAGGAGACCCACTGAAAAGTGCTGAATCGTTTTCATAATGATGAACATAAAGAAGAAAATGAGATTATTCCCAATATGTAACTTTGTGATACTTCTTTCTGCCATTTATAGGGAAATTTGAGCAAACATTTAATAAGAGGGTTGAGAAATAATGTGATTATGAGAAAAGAAGTTACCATGTAAAATCAGTTGTATTTTGAAGTTTTGTTTCTTAAGATCAGCTTACGTTAGTATTGTTTTCTATTATAGCCGGACGCAAAATGAAGGGCACCCTAAATGGTTTGTTCTTGGTGTTGGACAAGTTATAAAAGGCCTAGATATCGCTATGATGGATATGTGCCCTGGAGAGAAGCGAAAAGTGATTATCCCTCCTTCATTTGCATATGGAAAAGAAGGCTATGGTAATGTGTTTAATATTTATTTCTCTTGTTAGTTCTTGTTAAAAATAAATTATAATGTTCTGCATATGTATCAAAAAACATGAAAGCAAGTCTCAAAGAGATATTGTACATCATGTTCACAGCAGCTTTATTCATAGGAGCCAAAGGGGAGCCAAGTATCTAGGGACAAAAGGTAGAAAAGCAAAATGTGGTATTGTATGTACAATAGACTATTACTCACTGAGTAGACACTACTCACTAGTCACAAAGCCGTTGCATTATAAAGGCAGAATTTCACATAGGTGCGTATCTACTTGCATTATATTTGAAAAACTGTTTGAGAAGAAGCCTAAGGATCAAATGTAACATGATTTCCTGTCACTGAAAAAGAAATTTTATCATGTACCTATATTAATTTTTCTAAAATTTAATGTTGCAGAAAAAAGGGAAAGTTTTTTTTGTTTTTATTTTTACTATCTTTACTTGTACAAAAGGGTCTCAGTTTGTGAGTACAATGCATATTGGTCAATGTCACCAAGAAAGAAAATTTGATGGAGGGATAAGCAGCCTGACAGAAAAGTTCCTCCTTGTATCAATGAGGCCCCTGTTTCCTATTGCTGTGTGAAGGCTACACAGAAAGAACCTTTGCCTCCTGCTAACTTCACCTACTAGAAATATTTAGCAGATAATCAATGATTAGCTTTCTATGATAAGATATTGACATTACTACTCTATTCCCAAATATTTTGTAGAGATGGCATTACTTCATTG